TCGGTGTTGCCGCTTGCTGTTCCTGCATATCGCCCGTCCTTGCCGCTCCCCGCCTGCCCCGGCACCCCCGGACCCCAGCCGCAGATTTTTAGACGATTGCACCCCAGGTCATCCCTGGGATGCCCGGGGAGGAATCTCCGCGTGTCCCGGTGCTCCGGCTTGGAAGCAGYTACAGATGTTCTAAATGACTTTATCAGGACCGTTTCAGACCTAATTTGTCCGCTTTGGAGCGGATGAGTCAAAAGTGGGTGGCAGCGTGACTTCAGCCACGGCCAAAAATGCGGTGCATTGCCGGCACTGGTGGGATTGCACTGTCTGAAGTAATTCCAGCCTGTGAAATGGGGAACATTCCCTATGGACACTGCACCAGGGTCACGCCGGGCAGTGTCGGTGCCCTTGGAAGGATGAGGCCACATGGCTGCCCAGATCCCTTCCAGTCCCTGAAATKACACGGAGTTGTTGAGTGCTGGGATGGTGATGAGTCCTTCCCATGGGTGCTGGGGGTGTGGCTGATGAGAACTGGAGCTGGATGAGCTATGCATTCATGGCAGCAGAGCACAGGAAAACGTTCCTGTCTTGAATTAGCAAGAGGAAAGATTAATTGAAATGGGTTAAAAATGCCTAAAAAATACCAGATTTATTAGGACTTCAAAGCCTACGGAAGCTGTGCTGCTGCTTGAGGGGACTGGAAATGGCCATGTGAGAGAATATGGAGCCACTCCAGCAAAGTGGAGTATCCTGAAAACATCCCTGAATAGAAATTACTTTTTTTTCCCCAGTTCAATGCCACAAATTTTCATTTAAAGATCCCCAAATCCCAAGTGGTGGGGAGGCTTTGGGTAGGCTGACTACAGATCTCTCTGTCCCTGGGCTGCTTGGACCTTACGGAGTTAACCCTGCCGTGTCTGTTTGTCCTGCCTCTCCCTTGCCCACCCTTTCCCCAGCCTGGGAACAGCACCTACATAGAATGGCTTTCTCAGGAACCACCACAAGGTTTTGTTGTGCTGCAGCCTCTGCTGAGCTGCTGGGGGAGGGAAAAAAAGGATCCTTTAATGCAGAGCTATGAGCTGTGCTRCCCCAGCTTTTGCTGGGGCCGTGTCCTGGATCAGGATGAAAGCATCTCCAGCACTGTGCCGTCCTCCTCCATGATGATTTGATGGCAGCTTTTGTTAAATATCCCCCTCTGTGTGTCACCTGCTGTCACAGAGTTTTGCTGTCCCAGGGAATTTCCCCATTGGCAGCCAGTGATGCTCAGGGATGGTGACCAAGGCTTCACCTGAAAAATGACCAGACCAGCTGCCTGCACTGGTGAGGACATAAATGCCACCTGCCTTGTCCCCTCCAAGTGTCACAGCCTCATGGGCATGGTACAGTGCAGCCCCTGCCTTGACTTCACTGCTCTCCTGGCTTCGCTGGGCTTCTGCTCCCTTCCCAAGGCTGTTTGGAGGGGTGTTCAAGCCTGGGGGAATGTGGCTGAGGGAGCCCTGAACAGCAGCATGCTGGAGAGAGGAGGCTGTCAGATGGCTCTGGCAGTGCGTGGCCATGGCTGTGGACAGTGGCCGTGGGATGCCTGTGGTAGAAAGGGAGGCAGCCAGGCAGCCAAGGGTCTCAGCCCAGGGCAGAGGAGGGCACATGGCCAGGGACACTGTCCAGCAGTGCCGGCAAAGGRGCGAGCACGTGCCTGTGCCTGTGCGAAAGTGGACGGGGCAAAGCCAGGGCCTCTGCTCTGCCACAGACATTCCTTTCCCTTCCTTTGTGCTGCAGGAAATCTGTGCTTCCTCCCTTCCCAGCACTGCTCTTGCCTCAATCACTACCAGATGTGGCTTCCATGCGCTTCTCATTAGCCCGGCAGCTCCAGGTGCTGCCTTGGCAGCCTGCAGGGCTGGCGGCACAAACGCTGGGATTTTGGGGTCCTGGGGCAGAGATCCAAGCTGCTGTTAGCTCTTTGAGGTACCTGGCCATGCTTGGCACTGGGATCATCATTGGACGAGGTTGCTGTTGGGGATGCAGGGCAAGCTCGCTATGGGGATGGAGCTGGGACAGGGTGCTCTGCTGTTACCTGCAGGAGTGGCATGGGGACAGAGGGACATGGGGTTTGGGTTGGAGGAAGGAGCTCTGTGAGCTGGACTGCAGCTGGGTTGGAGACAATCTGCAGCCCCAGGCTGGGTCTGGGAGTGTAGGGTGGGTGGCACACATGGGGATCGAGTCTGGTAAGCACGGTAACCTGGGGTGTCCCACGCTCTGTATGTCCAGGCAGGGAGCACATCAGGATTCACTGGGATGTGATGGAGGCTCCTGGGGGGTGGGCTCATGTTGAGGTGGGGTAGTCCTGACCAGCTAACAGTGTTTGCAGTGGTGCCACAAACAGCTCCAGTGACACAGCATGGATGGAGGAAGCACAGGTCCTTCCCTGAGCTCCCTAGAACATGTCAGCACCCAGGACAAAGCCACGGCAGGACCAGGGGCTTGAGAGCGAAAACAGCCCTGCAGCTGGATTGCAGTGCCCAGCAAGAGCCTTAACTGTGCCTGGATTGAACTATGGAGGAAGCTCCTCTGTCCTTCTTCAGCCTGACTCCCCAACCATGGAGTGAGAGAGTCGCTGGGGAAGAGCCCAACGGGACTCTTCCTGCTGGGATGAGGCCACATTTGGGTGCCCATGGCCTTGGGAACTCTGCACTGGGAGAGGGGGATGTTCCTGGCCTTGSCACAGAGGAATCTGTGCCTGATCCTGTCCTGCTGCTACTTCTTGAGCCCCCAAACSAGCTGCAGGGCTTTCTTCATGCTGCTGGTGCAGAGGAGGCTGTGCAGAAGCAGGGGGACAAGAAATACATTGTGGGATGGAGCCTGTGACCTGGAAGGGACTTCCAGAGGGCTGAAGGACTCTGTCTCCCACTGCAGCCTCTTGCCTTCGCCCCAAGCAATGGGTYCCAAGTGGGGTTCAGGCTTCTTGCACTGGCCTGACAGGAAAGGATTTCCCAGGATGGAGAGGTTTGCAAATGTATGCACTGATCATTTCAGGAAGGGATGGCTGAATGTCACCTTCCCACAGTGAGCATGTTTGCATGCTCAGAAATGCTGGAAAACAGCATCTGTAGGGCCTTGCTGGAGCCTGAGTTGGGCAGAGGTGGCAACAAGAGTGGGGTGTCCGTGGAGCACATGCATGGGGGCATATTGCCATGGGGAACAATCCTGCAGAGAGCCCCAAGCACACACCCTCCTGCAGATGTCTGTCCAAGCCTGGAGTCCCTGGGAGRGCTGCCACACCACCATGGCTCTGAGTCACCACTCCGGAGCTGGGAGCACCCCACCCAGCCTTTGGTGAGTGTGGTGTCACCGGGCAGCCAGCTGTCACTGAAAGAGGCCAATGCACTGCTGAYTGTGCACCAAGCATGGCTTCACTGCCTTTCCTGTGGAGCCAGGGACAGCTCAGCATCATCTGGTCCTTGTGCTGAGAGCTGGCGAGCATCCCAGCAGCGGCTCTGCTCTCCATGCCATGGCCAGTGACTGGACAGCAGCTCATCCCAGGCCACGGTGCCCTCACTTAGTCCCTGTGTGGCAGCTGAGCCAAGGTGCTTCTGGAGCAGCAACCCCCCCACAAGGCCAGGTCTGGGGGCTCCTCTGCTCAAGGCTGGATCTGTCTGTCCTCAGCCAGCTGGGCTTGGATGGTTTCCTCTAGTCTCCTCCAACTCCTCTTTGGACMCTCCAAGAGCTGCCACAGCCCTCTGGGAAAGGGGCTCCAGCAGCAGCCTTCTGACTCCACCCTGCACTGGGTGTGTGGTCACCCACCGGCAGTGGCTTTGCCACTTGTCCCCAGCCTTGCTGCCTCCTCTTTCAGGCTACTTTAACCTTGTGTGGGSCGTCACCTCATGCCCCCAGCGAGGGGAGGGCATGGTTGGGACTGCCAGAGCCTCAGCCTCAGGCTCACCGGATTTATTCCAATTTAAACACTGTGGAGTAAAAGTGTTTCCCCTGCTCTGGCCTCTGGAGCTGAATATCTGAAGGGGAATTGCACCCGAGCTACAGCTAAAGTAAGACCTGGATTGAGGTGGTCTCTGGCTCTCAGCGGTGCCCAGTAAAGCCTTCACGCTCCCTTCCCAGCTGCTGCTGGTGTGGCCAGGAGACCAAGGGCTCCTGGGCTGGAAGGGCAGCGTGCATCCTTGGAAACATGTCGGAAAACACATCCAGGCTTTGGCTGCCTGGGCCACACTCCATGGGGACTCAGAGGAGATGCTGCCCACATGTGTCCTGACTGCACATCATGCCTGGGATGGCACATGCATGCTCAGCCAGGGYGAATTCACATGGAGCATCTCCTGTCATTGCTACCTGCAGAGAGAAGGCTGTCAGGTCTGTCTGAGGTGGGGTAACAGATCTGTATCACCCCATGGACAGCAGCCCTACCTGGAGCCTGGGCAAGGGACAGGAGCTGCTTCCCCTGGACCTACAGGAGAGGCTCCCAGCTGGCTGGTGTGGGTGCTCCAGGTCACTGCACGGGGCTTCACAACCAAGAATGAGCTGGGATGAGACAGAACTGTGTGGGCTTTGCTGGGAGTT